TCCAGACTCTAAATTGTACTGTGACTGATGACTTTTAAGTCAGAAGGCAATTGATAAGTGATCTCATTCATCTTGGGCCTATTTTTCCATAAAAGAGTTCACAGTGGTCTATGATTGTATCCACTTATCTCCCACCTACACTGCAAGCTTCCTGTGGGCAGGATCATATCTAAGACAGCTAAATCTTGAGTGTCTAGCTTACTACCTTTCACAGGAGTAGGTATCCCAAAAAAGCTTGAATAAGAAAATAAATCTGCCAACCACTCATCTGAGCTATGGCCACCCTTAGAGTTCAAGCTTAAGACTCCTGTCTCCGATAAGTATTTCTTTACTTCTTTCATCTATATTACTTCTATCTTCTTTAAGTGAATGCCATTTAGTTAATACACACATGAGTTTAGATATCAGTTATTTTGTATCTTCCATTACCCCAAAGCTTTAAGACGCTTACTCTTATATTTCATACTGCCTTGCAGAGTAGGCATTCAAGTATTCACTATTATTGAGATATATTAAAACAAAATAGTCATTGGATGAAAACCCCCACAAAATTTGATTTTCCTTCAAGCATTGTTCTAAATTGCCAAAATTAATTTTGAGATACCACTATTTAAACAGTTCATCCAGTTGCCACCCATTCACATTAAGGAACAGTATAAAAAATGCTTTTATAGTTTTTAAATGATTCTGGCACTTCACCACTGTTCTTTAGGGATATGTGAAATGGTTTTTCAAGATGGCATGGTTTTTCTGATAGTGTCATACATAGACCATTATTTCCATTTTAAAGCTAATTGTAGACATATTATTTAAAAGTGCACCTACATGACAGGGTTTCATCGTCTAGGCTGGCTTGGAACTCACAGTGTAGCCCAGGCTGGCTCCTGCCTCAGTCTCCCAAGTACTTGGATTGTAGGCATAAATCACCACGCTTGGAAAGATAAATTTTGAACTCCTTTAGTCATCAGTGTACTCGTGATATCAACATAGCTCTGGCACTGTTTTTAGCCAGCATCATTATTTCAGCCCTCTTCAGATGCTCTTTACCCTGTTTATTACATAAAATCGCTCTAACTTTCCGATAGATGGCAGCATCGAGCAACATATTTTGGTAACAGGTTGTTTTTCCATTCCTGGGAATTTTCAGTTAGGAGTAAATTTTTCATAAAGTGTATTACATTATAATACACCACAAGACTAATTTAGCATTAGGTGACAGGTAATACATGCATCCGCTCAACATTACTTCAGTTAGATTCCATAAAGCATCTCTTTCTATTCTGTAGATTATATGAACCAAATGTGAATTTGCATTTCCAGAGTTATCTCAGCCCATTAATAGAAAAATGTAGAGAACAACTGTATTTGCTACAACTATAATAAATATTAACCACCTTTAATATTGGTAGTAAAACATTAGCAAGAAGGAAAAATGGCAATAACTCCCTATGATCAGGCAATAACTCCCTATGATCCATATGAAATCCATTGGTCTGAAAAAAATTTGTTACATCAAACTTTTTTCCCCCCTGGTGTTGGGGGTCAAACCCAGGGCCTTGAGCATGCTAGGGAAATGCTCTATCACTGAAGACATCACCAGCCACAATCTAACTTCTTCTGTGATTTCTATTGAACATTTCAGCCACATAAATTGTTTTTTAAAACAGAGATCACTTACCACTGAGAGACATATTTATTTAGTCTTTTATAAAAAAATTAGTTTTACATGATCAAAATCCTAACCTTTCTGTGAAAATTAATTATAAAGTATTTGAGAATTAGATTATCTTTCAGTTCTCCCCTCCTTCCAGCAAAAGAATATTTTGTTTTCCATAGATCTACATTGGCTTTACTTAACTTTTTTTTTAGGGGGGGGTGTTAAGAAGTAGGGAGGAGGTCATCTAAAAATGAAAGTTTATGGATTTAAATTGTTTTCCTATAAAATGTGAAATTCCCTGCCTTCCCCACTCCTGTGCTAAACATCAAACTGTAAAAGCCCTTTGGCCTATCTAGATTACATTGTTACTGGTAAACAACTTTTATTATCTTTGTTTTTACTTGCCTCCCACAGCTACTCTTCTACACTAACTTCAGGCATCTCTATTCTGCATACTCGTCCTTATCCCCCAAAACCACTATATACCCTTAGAATGTCGATCCTTGTTGTCGCCTCGTTACCATCTCCAAATTAACTGCTATTTATAGCCTTGTAGTGGGCATGTGTGCCCACATCAGCAAGCTGTCAGTGGAAAAGAAGGGAGGGCTTTCAATTCAACATGTGTACTCAAATAATACATTAACCAAGTCTAGAAGAAGCTGCGTGATGGCAGAGAACAAGAAGGTGAGAGGAGAAACGAGAGGCTTCCAGGCTTCAGTGGGGAGAAGCCCCTCTGCAGATGCAGGATACCCCAATTCCAGTAACGCAAGCCGCTGAATGGCGCCTCTGTTTCTTTTTCTTCTTCTTTTTTAGTACGCTTTGCAACCTACCTTGGTACCCTCACCCCCTCTCCCCACCACCGCTGCAGTCCAGGGCTTGAAAGACAGGCATGCCCTCCAATCAGAGGGCTGCCCCAAGAAACTCGCCCCGCCCCTCGCCCCGAATTAGGTGGTGGTGTGCTCCGCTGTGGCCCAGACAGTCCCGGCCATTGAGCATGCCCAGCTCCTTGAGAGCTGCGTTTCCCTGCGAGCATCCTGCAGTACCTCAAGCTGGAGGCTGAGGAGGGTCTCCGGCACAGAAAGGGGGAGGGGATCCTAAACCGGCCAGGGCTAGAGTAGGAAAATAAGATAGTAATAAACAGAATGACAAACGTCATCTTTGTAAGTCTTTAATGCCAACTGGGCAAGCAAGACAAAATGCTTATTTATACGTCACTTGAAAAAAAAAAAAAACTTTGGGGACCCTTTGCTTGTGGTGACATTAATACTATAAGGAAACCGAGTAAGAGACTGCAACTAGACCCAGGTTGGTGACCTGTTCTGCTTATGAAGTACCCATGTTCCTGTACTGTTGAGCTGGCACCATCCTTGTTTTCTCTCGTTTATCCTTGTGGTCAAGGTTAAAAATTTATAGGGTGGTTCAATGGGTGTGGAAGCTATGTGTGTGAAACAAACATTTCAGCCAATATTTGCACTGTAGGGTTTTGGCCTTATGAGCCCTCTGTAGGTCCTTAATATCTTTATTAGATCACCAATAGACTTGTGACTATGATAAGGGGCACCTCCCCCTCCCCCCAACCCTCTCCGCTAAGCCTTTACCCTTAGATGTGAATGCCCGCTCTCTTGGATGGGCAGATGAAGAGGGATTCATGGTGATGTTTACATTTTATTCCTAACTGATCAGCAGCGAGTCCTACAGAGCCAGACATGAGCCGATTCCTGGGGATTGCTGTTCTCCGTCTGGAGTGACCATAACCTCCTAATCATTGCCCTTGGGCGTCCCTCTGTTCCTTGTAGGTACCTCAAGCTGCAAATCCGGGATTCCAGGGTAGAAGGCTGGCCCAGAAGTCCCTTAGAAAACCTTACAAAAATTTAGATGTCCTCACCTTGGCCTGTCGCCCTGAAACCGAAGTCCAGCTTTTATATTTCCTGGGAGGAAAAGCCTTGACTAGAAACCTCCCTCCCGAAGGGTCGATCTTACCTGTTCGGTAAGAGCCAGCCCAGCTCCCGCGCCCCCTCCTCCCCGGGCCCTCCCATTCGGGGCTTTGCAGCCGCAGTGCCCCCCCGCCGCCCCCCACCCTCACTCCTGCGTCTTCCCAAGCTCGCCCCCCTCCCGTTTTCCCAGACTCCCCTCCTGCTTTCGGGTAGCCACCCAAACACCCCCGCCCGCGCCCGCCGCGGGGATTCCTGCGGGCCGGGGGCGCCCTGGGTGGCGCAGGCAGGGAGGCGCTGCGCTGGGGCTGGCGGCCGCGCAGGGGCGCTGCCCGAGCGAGCGCTGCGCCGGGCCGGGCGCGGGCGTCGCTGCGGCACGGCCGGGGGGCGGAGAGGGGCGGACGCTGGGCGGGCTCGGCCCGGAATGTAGAGACTCGGGCTGGAGCCTCCCGGCGGCGGCCCGGCTGCCGAGCACGGAGGATCCGTCACGTGTTTTCTCCTCGGAGTGAGACGGCGGCGCGGTCGGAGGGGGCCGGCGCACAGAGCCAGACGCCGCCGCTTGTTTTGGTTGGGGCTCTCGGCAACTCTCCGAGGAGGAGAAGGAGGAGGGAGGGGAGAAGTAACTGCAGCGGCAGCGCCTCCCGGGGGACAGGCGTCTTCCCCGAATCCTTCCCAAATCTCCCCCCTCGCCTCCCTCCCACATCCCCTCCCCTCCTTCTCTGCCGACTGGAGCTAGGGGCAGGGATGAGCCGCCTGTCCGTCTGGACCATCCCTGGCTCCTCCGGCTCCTCAGTAGTGTTTCGCGTGGAAAAACCACTTTCTCCGCCCGCCGAGATGGGCTCGAATGCGGGCTGTAGAGGACGCGTTCGCGGGCGGCGGCAGCAGCAACAACAGCCGCAGCGCCGCGGTCTCTGCGATTGAGCTGGTATTTGGGCGGCTGGTGGCGGCGGGGACGGTTGGGGGGGTGGGAGGAGGCGGAGGAGGAGGAGGCGAAGGAGGAGGAGGGAGAACCCCGTGCAACGTTGGGACTTGGCAGCCCGCCTCCCCCTGCCCAAGGATATTTAATTTGCCTCGGGAATCGCTACTTCCAGAGGGGAACTCAGAAGGGAAGGCGCGCGCGCGCGCCTGGAGGGACAACGCGGGGAGCCGCGGGTCGCCGTTGCCTCCTTGCGCAGGACTTCAGCAGGGCAGCGAGAGATGCATCTTCACTCCCTCTCTGCTACAGCGGCTGAGACGAGACTTGGCTCTTGGAGGATCGTAGCTACACTCACCCCGGACGCACTGCCTCTCCCCTGGGCATGAAACGGCCATAAACTCCGGTGGGGCTATCTTCTTTGGCGCAGCTGCTGCGTCCTCCTTTGGCTACACCTCCCCAGCGCGGGGGACGGCGTGGATTTTGGAGCCGGGGTTTCTGCTGCTTCCAGCCGGGTTTGCATGTGCGGAGCCGCAGTGAAGAGCCTCCGCCCCCCACCCAGTTGTTTTTCGGCGCCTTCCTCTGCTCCGCGGCAGTGGCTGCTGCAGCATGGCGAGCCCCCCGGATACCGATGGCTTTTCCGATGTGCGCAAGGTGGGCTACCTGCGCAAACCCAAGAGTATGCACAAGCGCTTCTTCGTGCTGCGGGCGGCCAGCGAGGCTGGGGGTCCGGCGCGCCTGGAGTACTACGAGAACGAGAAGAAGTGGCGGCACAAGTCGAGCGCCCCCAAACGCTCGATCCCCCTTGAGAGCTGCTTCAACATCAACAAGCGGGCTGACTCCAAGAACAAGCACCTGGTGGCTCTCTACACCCGGGACGAGCACTTTGCCATTGCGGCGGATAGCGAGGCCGAGCAAGACAGCTGGTACCAGGCTCTCCTGCAGCTGCACAACCGTGCCAAAAGCCACCACGACGGGGCCGCAGCCCCAAGAGCTGGAGGCTGTGGGGGCAGCTGCAGCGGCAGTTCTGGCCTGGGCGAGGCTGGGGAGGACTTGAGCTATGGAGACGTGCCCCCAGGACCTGCGTTCAAGGAGGTCTGGCAGGTGATTCTGAAACCCAAGGGCCTGGGTCAGACAAAGAACCTGATTGGCATCTACCGCCTCTGCCTGACCAGTAAGACCATCAGCTTTGTGAAGCTGAACTCAGAGGCAGCCGCCGTGGTGCTGCAGCTGATGAACATCAGACGCTGTGGCCATTCAGAGAACTTCTTCTTCATCGAGGTGGGCCGTTCCGCCGTGACAGGGCCCGGGGAGTTCTGGATGCAGGTGGATGACTCGGTGGTGGCCCAGAACATGCATGAGACTATCCTGGAGGCCATGCGGGCCATGAGCGATGAGTTTCGTCCTCGTAGCAAAAGCCAGTCCTCATCCAACTGCTCCAACCCCATCAGTGTCCCCCTGCGCAGGCACCATCTCAACAACCCTCCACCCAGTCAGGTGGGGCTGACCCGCAGATCACGCACTGAGAGCATCACTGCCACCTCCCCAGCCAGCATGGTGGGTGGGAAGCCAGGTTCCTTCCGTGTGCGTGCCTCCAGCGATGGCGAAGGCACCATGTCCCGCCCAGCCTCAGTGGATGGCAGCCCTGTGAGTCCTAGCACCAACAGAACCCACACCTACCGGCATCGGGGCAGCTCAAGGCTGCACCCCCCTCTCAACCACAGCCGCTCCATCCCCATGCCTTCTTCTCGCTGCTCGCCTTCAGCTACCAGCCCAGTCAGTCTGTCGTCCAGTAGCACCAGTGGCCATGGCTCCACCTCGGACTGTCTCTTCCCAAGGCGGTCTAGTGCTTCTGTGTCTGGTTCCCCCAGCGATGGCGGTTTCATCTCTTCGGATGAGTATGGTTCTAGTCCCTGCGATTTCCGAAGTTCTTTCCGCAGTGTCACTCCTGATTCCCTGGGCCACACCCCACCAGCCCGTGGAGAGGAAGAGCTGAGCAACTATATCTGCATGAGTGGCAAGGGGGCCTCCACACTGACTGCTCCCAATGGTCACTACATTTTGTCTCGGGGTGGCAATGGCCACCGTTATATCCCAGGAGTTGGCTTGGGTACAAGCCCAGCCTTGGCTGGGGATGAAGCAGCCAGTGCTGCAGATCTGGATAATCGGTTCCGGAAGAGAACTCATTCTGCTGGCACATCCCCTACTATTTCCCACCAGAAGACCCCCTCACAGTCCTCAGTGACTTCCATTGAGGAATATACAGAGATGATGCCTGCCTACCCACCAGGAGGTGGCAGTGGAGGCCGACTGCCTGGCTACCGGCACTCCGCCTTTGTGCCCACGCACTCCTACCCCGAAGAGGGCCTAGAGATGCACCCCTTGGAGCGTGGTGGCAGCCACCACCGTCCAGATACCTCCACCCTCCACACTGACGATGGCTACATGCCCATGTCCCCAGGGGTGGCCCCAGTGCCCAGCAGCCGAAAGGGCAGTGGGGACTATATGCCCATGAGTCCCAAGAGCGTATCTGCCCCACAGCAGATTATCAACCCTATCAGACGCCATCCTCAGAGAGTGGACCCCAATGGCTACATGATGATGTCCCCCAGTGGAAGCTGCTCCCCTGACATTGGAGGCGGGTCCAGCAGCAGCAGCAGCATCAGTGCTGCCCCTTCTGGGAGCAGCTATGGGAAGCTATGGACAAATGGGGTAGGGAGCCACCCTTCTCATGCCCTATCTCACACCAAACCCCCTGTGGAGAGTGGTGGTGGCAAGCTCTTGCCTTGCACAGGCGACTACATGAACATGTCACCAGTGGGGGACTCCAATACCAGCAGCCCTTCTGACTGCTATTACGGCTCTGAAGATCCCCAGCTCAAGCCAGTCCTCTCCTACTACTCATTGCCAAGGTCCTTTAAGCACACCCAGCGCCCTGGGGAGCCAGAGGAGGGTGCCCGGCACCAGCACCTCCGCGTTTCCTCTAGCTCTGGTCGCCTTCTCTACACTGCAACAGCAGAAGATTCTTCTTCTTCCACCAGCAGTGACAGCCTGGGCGGGGGTTACTGTGGGGCTAGATCGGAGCCTGGCCTTCCACATCCTCATCATCATGTCCTGCAGGCCCATCTGCCTCGAAAGGTGGACACAGCTGCACAGACCAATAGCCGCCTGGCTCGGCCCACGAGGCTATCCCTGGGGGATCCCAAGGCCAGCACTTTACCTCGGGCAAGAGAGCAGCAGCAGCAGCAGCCCCTACTCCACCCACCGGAGCCCAAGAGCCCAGGGGAGTATGTGAATATTGAATTTGGTAGTGACCAGCCTGGCTACTTAGCTGGCCCCATGCCTTCCCACAGCTCCCCTTCTGTCCGATGTCCACCCCAGCTCCAGCCAGTTCCCAGAGAGGAAGCGTCTGGCACTGAGGAGTACATGAACATGGACCTGGGACCAGGACGGAGGGCAACCTGGCAGGAGAGTGGTGCAGCTGAGATGGGCAGAGTGGGCCCCGCACCTCCAGGGGCTGCTAGTGTTTGCAGGCCCACTCGGGCAGTGCCCAGCGGCCGGGGTGACTACATGACCATGCAGATGGGTTGTTCCCGTCAGAGCTATGTGGACACCTCCCCAGTTGCCCCTGTGAGCTACGCTGACATGCGGACAGGCATTGCTGCAGGGGAGGTGAGCCTGCCTAGAGCCGCAGCGGCTGCCCCCTCTTCATCGTCAGCAGCATCTGCTTCCCCCACTGCACCTCAAGGAGCAGCTGAGCTGCCTGCCCGCTCCTCCCTGCTGGGGGGTTCGCAGGGACCTGGGGGCATGAGCGCCTTTACCAGGGTGAACCTGAGTCCCAACCGCAACCAGAGTGCCAAAGTGATCCGGGCAGACCCACAAGGGTGCCGGAGGAGGCATAGCTCCGAGACCTTCTCCTCAACACCTACTGCCACCCGGGTGGGCAACATGGTGCCCTTCGGAGCAGGGGCTACAATGGGGGGCAGTGGTGGTGGCGGCAGCAGCAGTAGTGAAGATGTGAAACGCCACAGCTCTGCTTCCTTTGATAATGTGTGGCTGAGACCTGGGAGCTAGGGGGAGCCCCTAAAGAGATGGCTCAAGTGTGTGGGGCTGCTGGGGGTTTGGAGAATGGTCTTAACTACATAGACCTGGATTTGGTCAAGGACTTCAAACAGCGCCCCCAGGAGTGCCCCCCTCAACAACAGCCACCCCCACCCCCGCCCCCTCATCAGTCCCTGGGCAGCAGTGAGAGCAGCTCCACCAGCCGCTCCAGTGAGGATTTAAGCGCCTATGCTAGCATCAGTTTCCAGAAGAAGCCAGAAGACCTTCAGTAGCTCAACTGGACATCACAGCAGGTGCGTTTCCCCATGGTGTCAAAGGCAGAAGACAAAACTGCTTTTAACCTTGTGCTTAAAATCTGTTCTCTGTTTCTTCCTACTCCTTCCCACTGTGTCCTTGGGGAGGATGCACTTACAGGAGGTAGAGGCGGGTCAGGGCACACAGATGCTCACCCCCCAATGACACCTGGCAGACAGTCAAAGAAATGTGTAGGAGACGCCACAGGAGGGCTTTTGCATTTGAGAATTCCCAAGTGAAGTGCTTACTGTAGCATTTAAAAACTTAGATTGTGTAATGCCAGTTCTGAGCTTTGTAAAGTTTATTTTTATGACCCTTTGTATTAAAGTTTTCTTTTGACTGTATATTTAGATAGCTATTAGAAGGGACAATTCTACAAAAATATTTGTTGGTTTATGGGTTAAACCCTTCATTTAAGAATGTTTCTTGGAGCTCTGAAGGGTGATCCTATCCAGTTGCTGTGTGCACTTTGTTCAGTGATTTCACAATCCTAACACAACATAACAAGCAACAAATTTTTTCACGCTGCCCTAAAAAGATTCAGGAGTAAGGGCTTTTGTAGGTGCATGTATTTAAGACAGAAATGCTTATCCAATCTCTGATCTCTCAAGAAAGTAATTACGGGTGGTATTTCCTTTTTGTTCCCATAGCAGGACTTGAGAAATATCTTTCACACCCAGACTCACCATCTCGCAGGCATGGCTGCTTTTATACAGGATGTACAATAAACTGCACGCGTCTGGGACTCATTATGAGTTAAGAGTTAGGGAAGTTCCTCCCAGCATGTCTGCCTTGTAGTTGTCTCTTCTTGCACTGAGGCCTCACACAGATCATTTGGGAGCTACTGTATATCTTCTGTAAAATTACTTAACGTCTTTATGATGAAATGAAGGCACTTTGAGTCAGGGAAAAGAGGTTGTTTTGTTTTGATTTGCATTGAATGTAAGGGCTAAACTGGGTACTGATCACTCTTGGGTATGTGTTTTCCTTTAAGTTCAAGAGTAGATGCTTCAGAAATGTTGAAAGTTTGCATTAGGTTTTCTGTGGCTGAGGCTGTATTGAAAATGAAAAACATTTGTAATAGGAAATTATCCATCCCTTCATTCTATAAGCCTGTTTTCTAGTGGTCATCATTGTGGGTAGAAGAGAGGAGTATAGTTTGCAAATAATGTGATGAGTTGGCAGTGCAGGAGTTTTCAGCATTTGGAAACACTTTATTCTGACAAACTGATTACCTTGTGGATTTTACATATGCTTCATAGAGTGGGCTTTTAAAAGCATTTATTCTTCTTAGTAGATGTCCATTCATAAGATTTGTACTTTGGGTTCCTATTGATAGAAAATTATAATAGGTAATACAAATGTGTATTAAGTGGTCATAGTCTCCTTGATTCTGTTTCCAATACCTATTGTTTTTTTATCTTGTAGAACAAAATAGAAGTATATGAACATTAAAACTAAGATTTTAGGTGATATGTTATGAAAACCATTTAGTTGATTACCATTTATTTCAACATTTGTTTTCATCATTCACAAGAAGATGTGTATACTATAACATAAAAATTTTGACTATTTCAAATGTTTTTTGGGAACCAGTGTCCCTATAATACTTTAAACATTAGCATTGTAAAGTGCTTCACTTATAAAGTAATGAGAGTTTGAAGAAACCAAACCCAGAACTAAAATTTTGGTTTTAAAGGAGATGAAAGAACAGACTAAGAAATAAGTTTTCTCACTTGGCAGTTTTTTTATAGAGTAGAATAAATAATGTTTGATTTGAACAAACCAACCAAAAGACTAAACAGAATTTTCATTTTTAAAAAGGGATTTAAAAGTACACTTTAAAAAAAAATCCAAAAAATTAAATCCCCAACCTTCTATTCTTGACTCTCTTAGGGAAAATATGATATTCCAGAAAATCATATAATCACATCCTTAGTAATCCTGGAGCAGCAATAGACCAAGCTTTGAATGTATCATGCCAGAAAAATATTCTACTGCATGTATTTGTAAGATGTAAATGTGGTACCAAACGCTACTGGGTTTCAGCGTCCTCAATTCTGCTTGCTTGCCTTTGCCCTGTGGAGTTTAAAGATGTCATTTGATATTCAGTTGTCATCAGAAACAGAAAGAAATCAGTGGCAAACTTCTGCTCAGAAAAGAGTTCATTAGCTGTTTTCCTAACTTCCTCAGCAGTTGCTATCTTTGCTTCTTTTTCTCATTCTAAGGTAAATCTGAAACATGGTAAAGGAATAGTTAGGATGAGGGGCTTGTGCTCTTTCTCTTGCCCCTCTTTTGAACATCTCTCCTTGCTTAATATTTTTTCCTTGAACATTAAAGGACATTTGTGAAGCATTCAGCTCACCTCAGGACTTGATGGTTACACCACCTTTCTCTGTTTCTCTTTTCTCTTGTCCATCTCCGCGTCTCCTCCAACTTAGTTCTGACCTGCTAGATTGTTTTGCAGGATTGCTATTCCCCTCCCATTCCCTTTGTTTCCCACTTCTTATTTCATGTTCCTGACATTGCCCATTTTTGCTCCTTTTCAGAATTTCGCAGTACAGTGCTTGTGGCCTATTCGCTGCAGGAGGCAAATTGAGCCCCCAAAAGGAGGGCAGAAAGGACCTTAGGATAGCAGCCCAGCCACCCTTAATGAGCATTTACCTCGAATTTGCCTTTTAGTTTTGGAACTGCAGCTGGGCACACAGAGCAGGCGTTCGCAGAGACGCATACCCTAGCCAGCCCTCTGGCGTGGAGTTTTTTGTTTTTTTGTCATTCTTTTGTTATGCCCCCCCCTTATAAAAAGAATTTTGCCATTCTCTTTCTTTCGCTGCTTGTCCTTAACGTGATTTCAGGATTCCACACATCCAGGACTACCTCTTCATCCCTCCCCTCCTTCCCCCTTCTCTTTGCGCCGTGGCCTTTAGAGCTGGCTAAACCCTCGCGGCCCTGGCACTTTCCATTTCCCCGGGTCACCTCCGCTTCCCGCATTCTTCCCTCTTTATTTGGCACGAGGCTGCTCCTCCCTCCTCCGAACCCCATTCAGTCTGGGGTGGGGGAATGTGCGGCGAGGACGCCCTCCAGTCTCCCGCCCCCGCCTGTCTCCGGTCCTCCCGGGCTACCCGGCCCCTTCCCAGGCCACGTGGTTGGCGGAGGCGGGCGAACCCCCGCCCCTCTGGCTCCGCGGGGCAGCCACGGCTTCTGGGTGGGCGGGGCGGTCTGGTGCTAATTGGCCCCCGTTAGGGCCAATCAGCTTGAGTAATAGCCGAGCTGCGGAGGGCGCGGGGGCGGGGCTGCCGGGTGGGGCGGGGCCTCGGTCAAGGGCGGGGGAGGGAGGCTAGGCATCTCCCACCCCTCCATCCTTTCCCCTTTGGAGCCCCGGGCGCTGAGCCAAATACTTCTGCACTCCCCCCGAGCCCGACGGGGGATGTTATGCACTCAGCCTTATTCGTGCATCTAGAACAGAATCCTAAGGATGAAAGGGTCAACCATCCGGCTGACAGAGGCCGGAAACACATACTTCCTCTTATTTTTAATTGAGAAAAATTCAGGCCGTGACCATGTGACGTGCCCCATTTTGTTTCCCTCCTCTCTTACTATGGTTTACTACGATGCCACGTTCCTTCATCTTCTAGTCCTGAAATCCAAAAGCAGGAGCAGGCGATAGCACGTGGCTGTGGGATTGATGAGGTTGGCCCTGGATTCTTAACGTTTTTTCTCTTAGTCATGGGGAGGGGAGAAATACAAGTGCTGTGGCTGGCACGGTGTTGGTGTCATTCGGGGGGAAAAAACTCCTTTGGCTTGAAAGTGGCTTAGGCTCATTCCAGTATAACACGAACTTCTTTATTGAGCACCTGCAGTTTGCAAAGCACCTGAGCTAGATAAGATCAAGGAAGACTGATCCTCTTCTGTAAGGGAGCTCAGAGTGCAAATTGTGAGAACATGGAGATTCGTTGAAAGGGCTTGGATAGTATATTCCTTACCAATATAAAGGTTTGAGGAAGTGCTACTTAGGTTCTCAAACGCAAATTTGTTTTTGACCAATGACATCCCATCAGGGTAGGCTGGGTGACCTCATTTTGAAAACTTACTCAATTTGTGTTGCACCATCCCATACAAAATTTCATGAGGTGTATTAGTGTGGGGGGATGGAAGAGGACTCAGATTTTTCCTTTATAAAGAAAGAAAATAGAAAAGAGAAATGCTTCACGTATTTTCTTCTCCTCTTACGTCTAAATAAGGGGTTCCCAACCAGCCAGCATCCACATTCATCACTGAATCGTAAGACCCAGAAGTAGTGTTTTTGCTAAGGTAGTGGTGGAAACAGGCATAGGTGAAAATGTAGGGAAGAACTGCTCCGTGCAAATGACCCAGAACTGCTTCCTAGCAGTAGGAGAGAGTATCTGTGTTGTTCCAAATACTTTTGCTTTGTCTTTTTTTTAATAGTGCTAGGGATCAAACCAGGGCCTAGCTTATGCTAGGCAAGTGCTCTACCACTGAGCTACACACTCCAGACCTTATTCCAGAATACTCAGCACATCTAACAGTCTGTTAGTTTCTGCCACTGTTCAGGTGATTTTTATGTTAAAAAATAAATCCTTAAAAATTTCCCAATATTGCAAAATCATTTACCTGAATACCTTCTAAATGAAAATTATCTCCAATATTGCTTTACAAAAAGGGACTTGGATTCCAAAAGGGCATGCCACTTTTTTTTAAAATCACGATTCCTGTAAAGTATCTTCAAAGATGCAATGGAGAAAGCAGCTTCTGGGAATTTAAGCTTATGTCCTAACACAGCCTGTGCCCTTTATTATTATTAGCTGGTGACCTTGAGCAAGTCACTTCATTTCTCTGGCCCCATTTCCTCATCAGTAACTTGATGATTTCTAAATTATTTTAACCTCCTTTGTGGCTCTAAACATAGGAATGTTTTGGATCAAATGACTGATATTCTTTAATAGGTCGGCTATACTGAGCATTTCTTTGTGAAGACGTT